CCATGCATTGATGGGAGAGGGAGTAGGAGATGGGATGGTTTGTGGGTGGGAGGGTGGTTATGGGGGGGGGGAACTGCTATAATTCAAAAGTTGTACTCTCGAAATTTATGTTCATTAAATAAAAGTTTAAAAATAAACATAGATAAATATAGATAAATAAAAGTTTAAAAATAAATATAGATAATATTCACTGAAAAATATGTGACTTCAAAGTGTTTTCTTCTGTTCTGTTATTGTTTTTCATTTTTCATTTATTCCTGTTCATGTCATCTGCTTCCTGACTGTTTCCTGCATGTGTGTCACTATGACAGGTGTGAAATACTTTATGGATATGATAGTGTGCACATCAGTCTAGATCCCTGCCCCAAGGAGCTCATCTTCCAAAGGAATGAGAAAGGGCACATACTCTACATGTGAAGGAGAACTTTCAGTGATAATCAGAGATGTTACAGAAATATACTATTGAAACTAAATGTCAGCACTGTTGTCTTCTCCAATACACATATGGTGAGGATATGCACTATGGAGTGGGTTATCAAACACTGTAGCTTGGCCATACTAGAAAACCAATTATCAATCCTCAACCCCAAGTTCCTTGTTAAAAGAAAAATAACATAGGGAAATGCTAGTGTATAGAGGTACTGATGCCATTTAATAGAGCAAGAAAAGCAATAATCATCTATGGCTCCCATGGATTTTTGAAGTGTGCTTTCACGAAGTTAGCATGGGCTGCTCGCTAGTGAGTTTATCCCCTGTGTTCTCACTGGATTGATGTAGTGACATTTCCAGAAACATTTTCTTCTTCCAAGTGTGCTGTAATATTCTCTCCTCAACAACAGTTTAGAATCATTCAGTGAGACATTGATCCTCATTTCTAGGTTCAACATACCATCAGGATGCTTATTATCTGCTAGGGCACAAGCCGTGTTTATGTTCCTGAGGTGAACATAGCCATCTGGTATGCAAGTGTTCCTTTTCCGATAGGTTCATGAAAGTTCGAAGTGGTACTGTCATATTCACATATTACCTTTCTCCTTCTACATTCATCTGATGTCCCACTTACCTGTGGGTCATAAAAGGGACCAACTTACATGTCTATCAACCATGATCTTGTGAATGAATGGTAGTCAATCCAATCCAGCAAGTACACTGCATTCCTGGAAAACAATGGGGTGCAAATCTGTGTTAGCATTTGCAGTGGCTCCCATATACATTAGCAAAGGAAAAAAGCTAGTATGTGGTGCACTGTGTATACTATGCTGGGAAAATGTCTACTACAAATTATCTGGAAGGGAACACAAGAAGTAACAGGGATCCCCTTGCTGTTCAGAATTGGGGAATAGAGGAGACCAGCATTGTTGCTCAGGCATCCAAAGTGAACACCAGTTTAATTTCTGCTGCTCCACTTCAGCTCCCTGCTAATGTGCCTGGGAGGGCACCACACAATGGAACAAGAACTTGGACCCCGGGCTAGCGCTGTGGCTCACTTGGTTAATCCTCCGCCTGCAACACTGGCATCCCATATGGGCACCAGGTTCTAGTCCTGGTTGCTCCTCTTCCAGTACAGCTCTCTGATGTGGCCCGGGAAGGCAGTGGAGGATGGCCCAAGTCCTTGGGCCCTGCACCCGCATGGGAGACCAGGAGGAAGCACCTGGCTCCTGGCTTGGATCGGCATAGTTCTGGCTGTAGCGGTCATCTGGGGGTTTGGGGAGTGAACCAACAGAAGGAAGACCTTTCTCTCTGTCTCTCTCACGGTCTAACTCTATCTGTCCAAAAAAAAAAAAAAAAAAGAACTTGGACCCTACCACCTGTTTGGGAGACTTGGATGAAATACATGGCTCCTGGCTTCAGCCTGTCCAAGTCCTAGCCATTTCAGCTATTTGGGTAGTGAATCAGAAGATGGAAAACCCTTTCCCTCTCCTCCCTCTCTTTCCTCTCTTCCCTCTCCTCTCTCTCCATGTCACCCTCTCCCTCTATCTTGCACTCTCTCTGTGTGTACCTCTTTCAAAAAATAAAGACAAGAAAAGTGGAAAACAGAGTTTTGCTTTTCACTGTTATCTCCCCCATGCATTTACATATTTTCCAAGGGACATTCAAGTATTTTACATTACAATAAAGACAGCCCCTGCATGTGTCATTGGTGTAAAATGATATGGCAAACAGAAAAGGAAATAAGCTACATTTTACAAGGGACTTTCATTGTTTTCTCCATTACTTACACAATTAAGGATAGTGAAAATCTCACTGTTGGAACTGTGTGATACAATGTGGCGCAGAGGATTCTGAAAGTCACTTTAAAATGCACAGTGTTTACAGAGTAACAAGCTAAGATTTTCAATGGGTTTACAGCACCAACCTCATGGCATTCTCCCAGTTTCACTTTCACTAAGGATATGAGGCCCATCCTCTCCTCTGTCTCCACCCCAGTAGAATGGATACCCAAGAATCACAATGCATTATCCTAGATTGTGATTTTACACAATCCCAGACTATCTCTCCCTCAACAATTTAACACCACTGGGTTATTGTGTCTGAGATGCCATAGCAAATGATCACAATGGAGCAGCATAAAACATCAGGAATTGATTAACAGGGATGAGGCAGGTGTCAGCAAGTTTGGTTCCTTCAGGAGCACTCTGAGGGAGAGTCAACAGCAATATTCTCTCCACACGTGGGTATTGCCAAAGTCCCAGGCATTCCAAGTTCTGTAGTTGCATCTGTCCTATCTCTGCCACCTTCATCTCATCTTGCACATCCTGTGTTTCTGTGTCCACATTTCTCTCTTCATGTAGGACCACTCTTTGTAGTACTACTTACGATATTCATGTATTAATCCATCTCCAAATGAATATTTGCAAATATCCTATTTTTTAAAGATTTATGTATTTATTTGAAAAGGAGGGAGAGCAAGACAGACAAACAGACCCCCCAGAGAGAGAGAGAGAGAGAGAGAGAAAGAGATCCTTCATTTGTTAGTTCATTCACCAAATGTCCACAGCAGCCAGGATTATGCCAGCCCAAGGCAAGAGCTAGGAGTCGCTTCTGAGTGTCTCACATTTGTGCACATGCCCAAATAGCTGGATAATCTTCCTCTGCCTTCCCAGGTGCACCAGCAAGGAGCTGGATCATTAACTGGAGAAGCCGAGACTCAAACAAGAGGCCATAATGGATGCCACCTTTGAAGATGGCCACAGCACCGTCCCCACAGATACCTTATTTCTTTATTTCTTTTTTTTTTTTGGCAGGCAGAGTGGACAGTGAGAGAGAGAGACAGAGAGAAAGGTCTTCCTTTGTCCATTGGTTCACCCCCAATGGCTGCTGCAGCCGGCGCGCTGCGCCGATCCAAAGCCAGGAGCCAGGTGCTTCCCCTGGTCTCCCATGCGGGTGCAGGGCCCAAGCACTTGGGCCATCCTCCACTGCACTCTTGGGTCACAGCAGAGAGCTGTACTGGAAGAGGAGCAACCGGGGCAGAATCTGGCACTCCAGTCAGGACTAGAACACGGTATGCTGGCGCCGCAGTTGGAGGATTAGCCTATTGAGCTGCGGCACCGGCCAGATACCTTATTTCAAAATAAGATCCTATACACAGGAACCATTGGACGGCACATGAGCAGACATTATGGGGAGAGCAGGAATGGCATAATTCAACCCATTTGAAAATAGTCTTGAGCCAGCGCCATGGCTCACTTGGTTAATCCTCTGCCTGCAGCACTGGCATCCCATATGGGCACTGGGTTCTAGTCCCGGTTGCTCCTCTTCCAATACAGCTCTTTGCTGTGGCCCAGGAGGGCAGTGGAGGATGGCCCAAGTGCTTGGGCGCCTGCACCCACGTGGGAGACCAGGAAAAGTACCTGGCTCCTGGCTTCGGATCGGCGCAGCGCTGGCCGTAGCAGCCATTTGGGGAGTGAACCAACAGAAGGAAGACCTTTCTCTCTGTCTCTCTCTGTCACTGTCTAATTCTGTCAAATAAAAAAAAAAAGAAAATAGGTCTTGAATTTTTAACTACTCAAGTATTTTATCAATGATAATGCCTTTTTGGTGCTTTTCAAAGTAAACGGATGTGTCCTGATTCATGGCACAGTGAGTAAATCAACGACGGTGCTAGTTTGTGTCCTGGCTGCTCCACTTTTTAATACAGCTCCCTGCTAATGGCCTGGAAAAAGCAGCAGCAGATGGCTGAAGTGTTTGGGCCCCTGCCACCCACGTGGCAGACACAGATGGACTTCAGGGCTCTTGGCATCTGCATGGCTGTTGTGGCCACTTGGGGAGTGACCAGCAGATGAAAACCCTCCCTCCCCAAAAACTCTGACTTAAAAACAAATTAATAAGTTTTTAAAAATTAAATGACCAATGGCATTAAAGATATCTGGTGCACAAAGTTTTAAAATCCATGAATACTTTTTCATCATGTGCATTTACACAAACACTTTAACAAGCTTGTATTTCACTGAACGAACAAAGGCCATGAGTCAACAGCAGAGGTAAGCACCTCTGGTACCACTGTCTGATTAAGATCCAAGAGGTACACAAACACAGAGATACAGAGTTCTTATCTCCTGGTTCACTCCCCCAATGCCTATAGCCCAACCTGGTATCCTGGAACTCAAACAAAATCTCCCAAGTGAGTGGCAGAAACCACATTTTGCTTACCATGGTTTTCATTATCAGGAAGATGGAGTCAAGGAGCTGCAGCCAGGAATCTATTCCATTTACTCAAATGTGAAACACAGAATTCTTAACTAGTGACCTAACTGCTGAAACACCTGCCTCTTGAGATTCCTGTGCCATTTAAAAATCAATTGAGGCCTTCAAAGACTGATCAAAATGTTTATTTCTGGCAAACAAGGGATCAATTAACAGCTAACACCAGTGCTGGTCAAATCTTAAGTTTACTGGCTTTAACAATAATATAATTTCATATTGGTCATATTGTAGAATGTCAAAGAAAGTCTATGTGGCCTATAATGGGATAATAAAAACAAAAAAAGCACACACAAAAACACACCTTAAACAGACTTGTCTTTATTGATTTTACCCATTTGCATAGTAAAGAAGGGCACAAATCAACAATAGAAACAACAAATTGTACTGGTGATGAGAGATGAAAAGCAATATGCAGAATAGGAAGGTGAACATAACGCAAAAGGTTGGCTCAATTTTGCAAACAGGAACTATCACACATGCCCAATAACATATTCATATGGCTATTTCTTGAGTGAAATGCTTTGCTTCATTTCAGGGCCCTAACAGGCCTTTTCCATCAGCCAATCCATTCTGTGTGTTGGAAAGGCAGAAATTCAAATTCCATTTCAGGAGGTTTCCAACAAGTCCTTTCCTACTGTAACTTGCCAGCTTTGCCTTGCTGTTACATTGATGCCCTGCAATAATTTTGATTTTTTTTGTAACACTCAAACCAACCGGTATCTGCATTGAATATAACAGAAATGCTACGATTAAATACTGTTTATGATTACTGAATTGAGTTGTTTCAACTGAATTAGGCCTTTTGCAGCTTCTATGAGAAAAGACAAACTGAAAATAAAAAGATGTTGTTATTAATCCATCATGTGCACTGGGGTGATAGAAACAGCTCTCCACATATGGCACCCCTGGCTGCTCTCCACTATGTCCACATTGACCATATGATTGCTTTTAGGAACATATCCCACAGGACATATCAGAGAATCCAAGGTGAAATAGATAGAATCATCTATCACCCCATTTCTTCCACTTACACTGGTAACCCAGGCCTGCAAAGGGAAAGGAAGAAAATTGTTAAAATCATACCACACTGCAACCTTTTTTGCACCTCCCCACAATGGCTCTATCCTGAAAGTCTCTCCATTCCCATGGAGATTCCCAACCTGGCTAGTATCATGTCAATACCAGGGATGCTCTGTAAGCACACCTGGGGTAGACTCCACTTCATAACAGCTTATTCATAATCTCTGCAGAGAACACCTCTGTCTGCAGTGAGATTTTCTACTACCATTCTCACTCTGTGCATTAATGACCATTTCATGGATTTCCCTCTTATTTTCCAACTACACTACCCACATTACATTTGTAAAAGGTCAGATGATACAGCACACTGCATTCACTCTTTCCCAACAATACTCTTGTATACAACTCACATTTTATAGTGTTTTGAGTAGAGCATTGTAATAACATTCAAATATAAACTATACAATATAGATTATTCTTTCTTTGTTTTGGAAGTCCTTCATTTTCAAAAAGGAACATAAACTCTTCTTTATCAAAGAACACAGTTTATAAATATCACAGAAGAGTCAGTAGAAAAGTCAGAACCAAGTTATCACCAGAGTAAAGACTGGCAGAATGGACAGTCTAGTGCAACATTTAAATTACCTTTTCGATATGCTTACAGGTCAAGGGCTTTGCTGAGTGTGCCCTGATTCTCCAGGTACCTGGTTGGACTGAATACTCAACTTCTAACCAGTCACCATTGTAAGGCACAAAACCTACAAGAGCCATGGAGAAGCCTGAGTTACATTATCTCGTCTCTGAAATCATGTTACATTCACAAGTTTGGTCAATGCTGTAATAATGCTAAGAAGCCTGATTCTATATATATATCAGTTTGCATGTGTTTGAACAGACACATTGTAAGTCTTCTGTCCAAGAAGGAATTCATTATGTCTTAGATAATGATTCTCTTTCGTACTGATTTAACAAGGTCATGCAGGGAAAATTGTGAAGAACTGAACCTCACACACAATTTCTGGGAAGCACCATGGGATTAATTAGACAATGAGCCAAATTCAAATTTCCTTAGGGGAAGCAAATAGAAATGTGAGATCACAATTTTGAAACTGGCTTCCTGTATACAGACCATGCCACTGTCACTTACTCAGTTGACACCCTTACTGAAGGTGCATAATATGTCTATCTCGGCTTCGTGGTATATAAATGAGAAGTATGCTAGTAGTTTTCATGACATACAATTAATGTGACAATAAATCTTTACATGTACAATCTAATAATTATGCGTTCCACAGGTAACCACCAATGTAATGTTTACAGCCTGGAGGGATGGTGGTAGCATCGGGAGATATTGCCACTGAATGAAAGAATAAGTAATCCCAGGTATTTTGGTCAGCTGATGAATTTGGTTCTTTAAAAAATATTTATTTTACTTATTCAAAAGACAGAGTGACAGAAACAGAGAAGAGAGAGGCGAGGGAGGGAGAGAGAGAGAGAGAGAGAGAGAGATCTTTCATTTGCTAATTCACTTTCTAAATGGCCACAAGAGGCTGGGCTAGGCCAGGCTAAAGCCAGGAGATTGAAATTCCATCCAAGAACAAATTGGAGTAGCTGAGACTTGAACTTGTGCTCATATGGTATACGGACATAGCAGGAGGTTGCTTAATCCACTTTACTGCAACAAAGGAGCCAGGTGACGCATTCTTAAATATGTTTCTGATTTTATGAATATAAATATGCAATCTCAAATGGGATTTTACGAGACAGACATTAGTCACAGGATAACAAAGATACCTTCAAAGTCTGCAGGAACCAGAAATCTGAAACTTAACAGGAGGAAGTGTAAATTGGACCAGCCACTTTTACTAACTAGTAATGTCTACAAAGTTAATGTGATAAGGCACAGTGAGAAATCACTTTTTATGTCTTAATCAATATACATTACACAGTGTACATGCGTCTGGCTCTAATAAACCTAAGTTTCCATTATATCAATGTCCAGGCTGAATTAACATATTTAAAGCTCCATTCCTGCTTTTCTTCATATTCACCAAATTTGGCTCTTCTCAGTCTTCCACATCTCCATCCTTGCCACTTCTCAAAGCAAAACACTGCAATTAATTTTTCCTCTCTTTTCTTTCACTTCAAAGGTCTAACTCACCAGAAAACATTGTTATCTCAAACTTCAATTTATATCTAGGATCATTCTATCCTCTAAAATGCGCTTCTATCATTGTCTATCACAATGGCAAGGACAATTACAGTCTTCTAACCACGTCCAGACCCCACTTTTGTTCCACGTGGCCTTATCTCAACAAAACAGAGTTAGTATCTTAAGAGCAAATCTGAGAAGAATTGTGCTTTGGCATCCAAGAAAAATAAAAGACCAAACTGGTTGTTGGAGCCAACCTAATCTCCCTTTATACACCAAAGGGACCTGACAGCAGCATCAGATGCATAAAGCATCAACAAATTATAGTTTTGGGTAGAGTAAAAATCTTAGAACATATCTGTCATTTACAAGTAGAATTCAACATTGGATACATCATACACAAACACACACACACAATATGTTGCAAATCTATCTCTAAACTTCATTTTTGAAGCATTTGTGTTCATTGACAGTATTAACCTTCTACAGCTGTGGGTTTTTTAATTAATTAGTAACTAAATACTTGTATGAATGAAAGACACATCTAGACATTACTGACTCCACTCACACATAATAAATGATAACAGAAGCTATTATGAATAAAAGTTAATCGCCCTCATACTGTATATTATTGTTCCATCCAAGGGTCCTCCTCAAATCTTCAGGAGACAGATTATAGCCAAGGATGCTCTACAATTTGTGCCAGTACTAAGATCTTCTCAAAAAATAAACATTGCATTTTTCTATAAATGAAAATCATACCTTCTGTGACATTGTCTAGGGAACACTTAATTGTTTCATTAACGTAGACAACACCTTTCTTTATAGCAGTAACACAACCAATTAGAATTCTGGTTTGCAGGTCAGATTGTCCAGCAAAATGAACATCAAAAGCAATTGCATCCACCTGTAAGGTAAGTAAGCAGTTCCTTTAAACAAGACACACGTTTTAAAAGAACTCAGTGATTATATGACTAGTGTTCCAGAACTATTGTGACCAAGTAATCTCTACACTAGAGAAAATGTCACACAACAAACATAACATGATGAGTTAAAATAATGCTTGTGTTTCATGTGTTGATTAAACGCCTGGGACCAAGTTAACTGTGCACTGAAGTTTAAGAGAGTCATTGCATTAAGCTCAAGGGTAAAATGTATACTGTTCTTGTGATCTAGAATTTAAGTATCAAATGAGAGTTGAAATGGACATGTATCTGTTTCTACTATGTTATTATGAAAATTACAAACATGGGAAATTTTTTTTTGCAATTGCTCATGAGGGAGAAAATTTCAGAGTGAGAGAAAATTGAGGCATCAAATAGACAAAATCTGTCTTGTGTTGGGTTGTGAAATAAAAGAAAGTGTATTTTGTTCAATGATATTGGCGGCAGGAGCTGGAAATCAGAGAGCAGAAATGCACACAGACCAGAGGGACAGACAGGTAAACAATGCCATTTAAGAATCAGAACCAAGGAAAAGAACCATGAACTAAATGTTGGAAAAATCACTTGAAATAGGAGACAGAGATAAAAAAGAGAAGTCAAATTGGGGTTTACTAATACTCTGATGGAAAAGTACACAAATAGTTTGGATAAGTGGAAGTTAAATACTGCATATTTAAAACTATTTAACCACACAAGTAATACATGGCCAATATAGAAGAAATACAAAAAAGAGATGAGCAAAAAGAAATTCCTCACAATCCCTAATTCTATTACCAGGGACAAATATTGTCTACAATTCAGTATTTATCCTGCTCCTAATGTTTTTGATATTTGCACAAAGAGGTATCATATAATTATCACTGTTAACTGTACCCTTCAGAAGCGTGGAAGGCTGAGCCCATGGGCCATAGAAATCTCACAAAATCACTTGGCCTGGCCCCATCAAGGCAACTTCAGGTGAGACTGGAAATTCAGAAATTCTATAGCAGGACTTTTTAAAAATTTTTAATCATTTTCTATGGCCTGGGAATGATGTCTATTGGCAGAAAAAAAGTCTCCTTACCACTGCAATATAAAGAAGGTTGAATAATATGCCTGTCATAATACAGAAGTCACTATAAATATTAGAAAGGAAGAAGCTGTATTTCTGTGAACAATGCTTCAACTGTGACTCTTTCCAGTGCAAGTTATGTTCTAGTTAATAAATTAATCAAGAAGAGCAAAGATGAAAGCACACTGGAATAAAAGACTATTCACAAATTCAGTCTTACTTGAAATGGTTTTAACTCCTCAGATGGTTCACTTTCTTCATTATCAGCAGTACTTTTCTGCCCACCTCTCAGCATCACCCTGCCCGGCTCATCAGTATTGAAGTGAAGGGACTCATCTGTCACACCATAAAAGGAACTTGGCACTACTTCCCATTGATTTTCCAAATTTTTGCCATCTATGACACAGGTCAAGGAAGTCAAATCACTTAGGTTCAGATGTAAAGATCCAGTACAAAGAAGTCCTTCCCTGACCATCTATGTAATGTTCTCTTGAACCTTCACATGTTAAACGAGGAATATGACAATAGCTGCTTAATAGGATTGGCTACTAATTCACACACATGCACACAGTTTAAGATCTGTGAGTGCATTCAAGGAGGTAAAACCGTGCGAGATGCATATGTAGTGTTTAAGCTCCCACTATTATTAATAATATGCCTTATTATCATCTTAGCAAAGTCAGGAAGAGCATCTCTAGCTTCCTTTTCACCTCCTCAGAAAAAGGCTTCAATTATCTCAGAGATTTACTGCTGGCCCCAAGCTGCACCGGATTATTTTGCTGTTGTATAGAAGCACACCTGAGATGTAACCTTCTGGTACTGATATCAAGAGTCACCCTCACAAAGAAGTGGTTTCCTAAAGTATCATATATACGAGTTTTTGGATGCAAAAACTCATCCATTTGAGATGAAAAATCAAATTCATGCTCAATTGGGGGAGTTTTATTTCTGGGCAAGTAAAAAAGCACCTGCAGCAGGAGACACTTGAAAAGGCAAGGAATTTGCACCCCAGGATTTTGTGTGTCATCCCTTTCTCACATTGGAGGGACATGAAATGGAAGCTTGGCTGCTGTTTAGCCTATCCTTCCAGCCATGGAGCATCTGGACCACCACAGGAGCACACAGACACACATGCTTGCACACGTACACACATACAGGCAAACACACACATGTGGGCACAAGCACAGGACGAAGTCCTGAGCACTTTTGACTGCACCAGCACCCAGGTAGCTGACCAGTGTTGAGAGGGCCAAAACACAGAGGTTCCTTGTGGGTACCTTGCGGAGACGCTGGTCGCCCCTCATTGAGTCCGTCCCTCTTGCGGCGGAAGAAGGTTACCACACGTCTCACCCTCCTGAGCATGGTCCAGGCTATAGCACATCCAATCGAGAATACTACACAAATCCGAGGTGGCAGGAGGCCGTCTCTCTCCCTCCCATTACAGCAACCCTCAGAAATCCCTTCCTTACTTCTTTTCTTCGGCCTTGGTTGGAAGAGACCCAGCCACCAAGTAGCTTCCGAAATGGCGCCGGACGCGCCTTAAGGATTGCGTGGCCACGCCAGCAGCTCTCGTGCTCTGCTTACGTTGAACTGCTTCACCGCGAGACTTAGTACAGCCCACCCCCGTAACATGAGATAGCCAATGGGGTTGCTGCATACAGAGAAGTAGATTTCAGAATCCAATAGGAGTCAGTGAGAAGAAACGTATGGCTTCTCTCATCCTGATAACGGTTCCATTTCAAAAGCTTCAGAAATATGGATTGGTGGCGGGGTGCGTGCTCCTACCAGGAGGTTTGCAGATGCTTCTGGTGCCTTCCCTATTTGAAGCAGCGTTGTGTTTTGGACATGGTGCAAACGAAAAATCCAGCCCTCTCAACTGTATTCCTGGTGCACAGCATATTGACAGCCCTCAGTGTGTGGGGTCAGTGAGAGCTGTGCAGGGTGGGTGGGTTGTGAGGTCCTGCGTGTATGTAATGTTATAGGGATGCTAAATTTTGTCTTTTATCCTAGAGCTGACTCCTTGGCGGAATAGATAGCATAGTATTGTTTGATAACCAATGCCACCATTTAGTGATTACCATTATGATTGATTTTGCTAAGCATCTTGACTCACTGCATTCATTTCATCAGTGGATATTTGTTCAGTACTGACACTGAGGCAGAAATCAATCTTGGTGTTTGGACTTTAATCAGTGAATCAAAAAATTGAATCTGAGTAGCTGATTTCCATTAGAGGAGGAATAGGGAGGCTATAAACTTAATAAGGAGTAAATACATGACATAGTGGAGGTGCAATGCTGACCCCAAACCTCGGTGGGCCTGGCCTGAGGAAGTTGCATGCTTCTAGGTCTCAGGGGTTGGCCACATCGCCAGCAGTACCTTTGGGCCTCAGGGTCCTATGTCGTTTGTAATTCCAGGCTCAAATAGGAACTAATAGCAGGCTCGTTTGGGCCCATGCTAGCTGTGCTTGGAAGCAGGACTCTCCAGGCTCCCTTACACTTGAGGGGTTGGCTGCCTGCAGCTGGGACAGGGCAGTGGACACATAAGGGTGCAATTGGCAGTGGTTGTTGTATTCCCCTCTGTGCTGGATGAAGCCTTTCATCCAGATCCCTGTATGTGCATGGGCTCCCAGCATGTCTTACAGTGGCAAGGATAAGGGCCTGACAGTGCCAGCGTAGCTCATTTGGGTCTCCTTGCTCCTTTCATGAGTGAGGGTCATGGGAACACCACCTGCTTCCCCTGGCCTCCAGACTATTGTGCTGGGCCCCAGAGATGTGTGATTCACAACAAGTCCATAGTGGTCCCTGTGAAGGCCAACAGTGGTAGGAGCACCAATCAGCAGACATTGTGGTCCCCTGAGGTGCACACGCCAACAGCAGTCTCATAGGTGGGCCACAGGAGGCCCCTGGTGCTCCAGAAAGAATAAAGGACAATGTGGGGCCTCTGCTGGTAGACATGTATGTTCATCCATTTTATAATCCACGATCAAGTGGAGATGCCAAGTTAAAGTCACAGGATGATGCTAATAGTGTATGACACCACCCCAGACTGCCCACAAGGGCATAAGAATACAATACACTGTGTATTTACTGCATGGAACATACGTAAGTAACTAGAGAGTAAGAGGATAAATGTGGAAAGTAGGGATTCTCAGGATATGCAAAGGAGAGGAAACTAGGGTGTTTGACAAAAGAGAGAAATACTTAAAGGTTTGTTACAAACTATTGAGGGACGAATTGGAAAAACTTGTATGCATATTTTCAGGATGCAGTAATATTCAACCACAACTTATCTCCTGGTCCATAGGGTCACAGGTTAAATTCTTCCATGGGATTATTGAATTAACTAAAATATGTTTTACCAAAGAAAATAACTCATTGAATTCAATCTGAGCAGATTTCATCCAAATAAAATGCTGGAAAAGTCCATGTTTTCATTTTTATTCAGTAATCTTGCCAATTATGTGAAAGTGAAGAAGGAAATGCTTCCCCATTAAATTCCACTAAAACTTGAATGGAGAAATGCAACATATTCTTCAAAACCCCTCCCCCCAAATAGAACCGTAGAGAACCATTTCTAATTCATTCTCTGATACAAAATACAAACACATGGCACAAAAGATAAGAGAATACAAACCAACATTCCCTGTGAATTGAGATGTAGAGATCCTCAACAAGATTATAGCTAACCAAATTCAAGAGCATACTAAAAGTATCATACACCATGAACAAGTATCCTAGGCCTCAATGGATGATTCAAAAGACAAAAATCCATCTCTATATCACATAAATGCCAATAATACAGAAAAACACATGATTTTCTCAATTGATGTAGAAAAAAAGCGTTTGATGTAAATCAGTATCCATTCATGATTTTTTAAGATTTTATTTATTCATTTGTTAGGTAGGGTTACAGACTGTAAGAGGGAGAGAGAAAGAAAGGTCTTCTGTCTGTTGGTTTACTCCCCAAATGGTTGCAATGGCCAGAGCTGGGCAAACCTGAAGCCAGGAGCCAGGAGCTTCTTCTGGGTCTCTCATGCACAGTGGCCCAAGCACCTGGGCCATCCTCTACTGCCTTCCCAGGCCGTAGCAGAGAGCAGGATTGGAAGAGGAGCAGCCAGGACCAGAATCAGGGTCCACATTGGATGCAGGTGCTACACGCAGAGGACCAACGTACTGCACCACAGCACCAGCCCCCCTTCATGATTTAAACACACACACACACACTTGATAAACTTGGAATAGAAAAGCACTTGCACAATGTGATTAGAAACTTCTATGGAAATACCACAGCTAACATCAAATTAGCTAATTAATTAATCTCAGCAAATTACAATCATATTTAACTATGGATTACACAATGATGTTATGACATGTGTATATAGTGTGGAAACAGTGAATCAAGCTAATTAATATATGCATCATTGTTAACGTTTGTGTATTCTTTCTGTTGAATAGCCACTTTGTACTGATTCACCAATATCTCTCCATTTCCAAATCACCCTAATCTCAGTTAACAACCATTCTACCATTCAACTCTGTGTTTCTATGAGTTTATTTGTTTTTTTTTTTACTTTTATTTAATGAATATAGATTTCCAAAGTACAGCTTATGGACTACACTGGCTTCCCTCCCCACCCCAGATGACTTCCATCCCACCTGCAACCCTCCCCTTTCCCGCTCTCTCTCCCCTTCCATTCATATCAAGATTCATTTTCAATTTTCTATATATACAGAAGATCAGTTTAGTATACATTAAGTAAAGATTTCAACAGTTTGCACCCCCATAGAAACAAAAAGTGAAATATACTGTTTGAGTACTCGTTATAGCATTAAGTCTCAATGTACAGCACATTAAGGACAGAGATCCTACATGAGGAGTAAGTGCACAGTGACTCCTGTTGTTGACTTTACAAATTGACACTCCTGTTTATGGCATCAGTAATCACCCTAGGCACTTGTCATGAGTTTCCAAGGCTATGGAAGCCTTTTGAGTTCTCTGACTCTTATCTTATTTAGACAAGGTCATAGTCAAAGTGGAAGTTCTCTCCTCCTTTCAGAGAAAGGTACCTCCTTCTTTGAAGACCTGTTCTTTCCACTGGGATCTCACTCACAGAGATCTTTCTTTTAGGTCCTTTTTTTTTCCAGAGTGTCTTTGCTTTCCATGCCTGAAATACTCTCATGGGCTTCTCAGCCGGATCCGCATGCCTTGAGGGCTGATTCTGGGGCCAGAGTGCTGTTTAGGACACCTGCCATTCTATGAGTCTGCTGTGTATGTCGCTTCCCATGTTGGATTGTTCTCTCCCTTTATTTATTCTATCAGTTAGTATTAGCAGGCACTAGACTTGTTTATGTGCTCCCTTTGACTCTTAGTCCTTTCATTATGATCAATTGTGAACTGAAATTGATCACTTGGACTAGTGAGATGGCATTGGTACATGCCACCTTGAAGGGATTGAATTGGAAACCCCTGGTATGTTTCTAACTCTACCATTTGGGGCAAGTCAGCTTGAGCATGTCCCAAATAATACATCTCTTCCCTCTCTTATTCCCACTCTTATATTTAACAGGGATCACTTTTCAGTTAAATTTAAACACTTCAGAATAACCGTGTATTAATTACAGAATTAAACCAGTCATATTAAGTAGAACACACAAAAAAAAAGAGGGATAAGGTATTAAGTTGCTCGTTAACAGTCAGGAATATGCCAATCAACTCACCGTTTCTCATAGCGTCCATTTCACTTCAGCAGGTTTCCTTTTTGGTGTTCAGTCAGTTGCCACCAATCAGGGAGAACATATGGTATTTGTCCCTTTGGGACTGGCTTATTTCACTCAGCATGATGTGTTCCAGATTCCTCCATTTTGTTGCAAATGACTGGATTTCGTTGTTTCTGACTGCGGTATAGTATTCTAAAGAGTACATATCCCATAATTTCTTTATCCAGTCTACCGTTGATGGGCATTTAGGTTGGTTCCAGGTCTTGGCTATTGTGAATTGTGCTGCAATAAACATTAGGGTGCAGACCGCTTTTTTGTTTGCCAATTTAAACTCCTTTGGGTAAATTCCAAGGAGTGGGATGGCTGGGTCGAACGGTAGGGTTATCTTCAGGTTTCTGAGGAATCTCCAGACTGACTTCCATAGTGGCTTGACCAGTTTGCATTCCCACCAACAGTGGGTTAGTGTCCCTTTTTCCCCACATCCTCGCCAGCATCTGTTGTTGGTAGATTTCTGTATGTGAGCCATTCTAACCGGGGTGAGGTGAAACCTCATTGTGGTTTTGATCTGCATTTCCCTGATTGCTAGTGATATTGAACATTTTTTCATGTGCCTGTTGGCCATTTGGATTTCCTCTTTTGAAAAGTGTCTATTGAGGTCCTTGGCCCATCTCTTAATTGGGTTGTTTGTTTTGTTTTTGTGGAGTTTCTTGATCTCTTTGTAGATTCTGGTTATTAACCTTTTATCTGTTGCATAGTTTGCAAATATTTTTTCCCATTCTGTCGGTTGTCTCTTCACTCTCCTGACTGTTTCTTTTGCAGTACAGAAACTTCTCAATTTGATGCAATCC